TTATTTAATAAATAAATTATTTAATAAATAAACAAAACATTTTGTTTATTTAATGAATAAACAAAAGTGTGGGAACATAAACGCAGTAGGTTATCGGGGACTGTGTACTTGGGTTTGATGTATTCGTTCTTTGAGCGCTGTGTTTTTAAGTTTTCGACGTTCGAACGACGCGCAGATGCTCGGCCAATTAGAGGTTGGCTGCGCACAAACGTGCGCAAGGTCTCAGAACGATCTCGGCATACTGCCTGTACCCCCTTCTCTTACATCTATTTAAATTGCCGATTTCTGATGATAACCCATAAACCCTTGAACCTTTTATATGACCATTCAACTTTTTTCTATACAACCCCCTTATTGTAGATTCATGTTCATAGTGGTGGCAGTAGTAGGAGTAAAAGAATTTTTTCAAGTTAAAAGATAATCCTTATATACCTTCCTATATTACAAAATAATATGAAAAAGTAACTCCACACACACACCTCTACACCCCCTGAGGCCCCATCGGTGCCAACTAAACAAGGTAAAGTTCTATCAGTTGTTACACTACTTTTTTAGTTTAATTTTTGTTTAGCCACCCCTTTAACTCCCCTTATCTCCCCCACTCAACTTTTAAAAGCCCTACCCCCCACTCCACATTCAGTACCTCCCCGTAATGAGATTAGATTTCATCAGTCACTACGTAATTGTTTATTAGGTTCAATTTTTATTTAGCCTTTCTTCAACCCCCTTGATCCTCTCACCCCCCCCCCGGCTGGATCTTAGAAAGCCCCCTCAGCCCTCTCCAAACCTCTCATAGCCTCTTCTCTGACTTAAGTGAAATTCTATTGGTTTTATCTCATTTTTATTGGGTTGACTATTTGTTTTGACCTCCTTTAATCTACGTCATCTATCTCCTTTTTATTAAAACATGTCCAATATTTTCATAATGCTTATCATTTTGCCGTCAACTTAGATAATACGCAACGTACAGTAGAAAAAATTATCATGAAATAAAAACTTTACATTATTTTAAAAACTTGGTGCACATAATATTTTAATACATACGTATAGTAACCAAACAAAATTTTTTTAATTGAAGATATTTAATAAGACTTAACACTGTACATAAAATTTATATTATCGCATAATAAAACTGTTTAATTTTTTTTTTTAATGAAAGTAAACAATATTCCAAACTTTTGCATATCTAAAATGGTCAAATCTTTTTATCTTCTTTAGATTAGGTAACGTCAAAAATTTTTTTACAAACAATATTTTCTATTTCTAAATTTTCATCGC